GACGTATGCGTAACATTCTGACTTAGTCGCTGTTTAGTTTAAGAAAATGGAAATAATTTTTATCATAAAGACTATATAGCTCACATAAAATATACATTTATTATATTATATAATATTTAGATACATTTYACATATCACTCGAATTTTGTTTTTCTTAAAACCAGACAGGTGAGTTTCAGCATTGCAAAACATATGTATGTATTGTATATCCTCATTGCTACACATAGTTGCCAAAAAAAAATTTAAATAACTTTCACATAGTTCGTTTCGTTTAAAATCTTTTGTGTCTTAAATGCACCTTACGTCTTTATCACCATTACTTGACGCTCTTGCACCTTCTCAAATAAGTGTTGTACATTTTTTTCGTTTCATTTTCTATTGTATTAAGTAAAAAGTGGATACAAAAGCAAAATAATTAGTTTCTGAAAAAAACTATGACCAAAAAAAAAAAAACAATCAGAGAAACAACAATTTGTAGAACGAAACGTTAGACAGCAAGGTAGCAAAACAAATTGTGCAAGCAATTAATAGAAACACGTTGCCAAATAAACAGTAGACGCCATCAATGTATAGAAACAGCAAGCAAACGCAAAKTATAAATTCATAGCAATATGAACATTGAGTGGCAAATAGCGCAATGTAAATTCAACTGCATTTTATTTTCATATAAAAAACAAACTAAGAAAAGAATTTAAAGCAAATATAACTTACAAACACCACAGCAATTATTTACAAACAGAAAAGTTTAATTACAACCAAAAACAACAAAAAAAAAAAAACTAAAAGCAAAAAAGAACTAAAAACTCAACTTGAACCATTCCTTCCTTCCTTCCTTACATTCATACATTGCAGTCAGAATAATGGGCATGGACGATAAATTGCATCTGAAAATGTTCGAAGATAATTTGGCGCTCATTGATACGCCGCTCATAGCATCAGCGACGAGCACCCACTACCCGGGCACGGTGTCCACCTCACTGCACACGCTGCACGGCATACTCTTGTACCCGTTCAATGTGAGCGACTTCCAGCCGCGGCACACGGCGACCGCCGGCCATGAGTCCAGCGCACTGGATGTCATCGACACCGGCAACTCGTACGGCTACGAATCGGGCAATGGACACAGCAGCGGCGGCGCACACGGTCACAGTCATAGCGGTGGCGGCGTTTACTATCAAAGTATGTGTAAATGTTTAACTAACCAAAAAAAAAGCAAACAAAATGTATGAAATAGCGTAACAGTGCGTAGTAAGAAGTGAAGATAGAACAGAAACGAAAATGTACGCCAAAAAGTATGCAACAAAAAGCGAAATATAACAGCCAAAGTGGGGCAGTAAGCGATTTGAGTTTAGCTGGTGTGAATTATTAGCGAAAACGCTTGCTTTGTTGTGCCATTAATGTTTGTATATGTATGTGTGTGTGTGCGTATGCGGCTGTATGCGTGTTAGTTTAGTTTAGCGCTATAGTATTGTAATAGGTGCGAGTATATGGTTAAAAGAAGCAGCGTAGAAGAGTGGCCCCGCCACATAATGA